TTTTTTTTTTACGTTACTGGATGTGCTTGTGACCTTCGCGCGGACTCACAGCTAAATAACTTGTTTTAAGGTTACTCATGGGTTTTCAAAAACGGCGTATGCAGGATTATTTGATTCATTGAAGTATATGGCTGAATCTAACCTGAATTACGCAACGCAGAACTCTGTAGGTTACAGATTTTTTCTTTTTCTCTCGTCCGTACGGAAACTTCTTACTTTCTAATTATAGGCGTTGAGTAATAACACAGAGGTGCCGCTTCCAAATCTATATCGAAATTGCCCCGACAGTACTTCTCTGCCGCCATCTCAGCGTGCTGCTGCTGATCAATGGACGAGCGTGAATAACTCGAACCCCAACGAAAACAGCTTTACCGGGGTCGGCACAGCTCCAGCGAACGGATGCTATCTGCCACAGAACTATCATGATCAGATTTCGTATAAGGATTCTTACAATTTCTGTAATTCGTATTCGCCAGAAAGTTATGATTCATTTTTTGTAACAGGTCGTGATAATGCCCCATCCACTTCGTCTTGCTCTTACTATGAAAGTAATAATCAGTGTTTGAGGTCTTATGGCTTGAACAACTTACCTAACGGTTCACACCGACAGTTATTTGTTTATTATCAGTAGGATTTGAGTGTCTTACTGAAAAACAGTATTTCTAACTTTGTAAATCGCTAAAATCAAAAGACTTTAATTTTTTGTCGAGGCAAGTTTCCTGGGTTACAATTATCAGTAATTCAGAAATAGTTTGCTTAAGTTTGCCCCGGCAAAAAGGCTTTTCGGTCCCAGTAATTTATGAAGGTACAGACGATAGTATTTATTACAAGAGTGCAGCTATTACTGATCATAAACAAATAGCTGTCGGTGTGAATCGCTTGGTAATTTTTCGTTTTACTTTCGATATTTCAGTGTTCACGCGTGAATTTGTCGCTTCACAACTTTTTGTTAAGTGGGTCATTCGAATTCACAGTTTTGAGATAATGAGGAACGCTTGTTAAAGTAATGATTCTGTTAAGAGGTGACGTTGCATATTCCGAGCATTAGGATTCCGAAGTTTCAGTGGTTGTAATTTTTTGGCAGGAGTGGATGTTGGTAAGCAAAGACTGGGTGACTGTTGACATTATTTTGATTGTAGTGATAAAACGAATTTGATTTGTCTGTAACCACTATTAGTTTTTCTGAGAAATGATAGTTTTTTTCGTTTCTGGACATTAATTACTCTTCCATCATTCAAATTTTTCTTGTCTAACGATTGCTGAATTTATAAAAGTAGTTCTCAAGCGAAAAGTACTAAAATGAAGATTTAGAGCTCTATGATCAAAAGTATAAGAACTAAAAAAGGTGGGAGATACGGTAGCGTCATTTTAAGCATAACTGGTCACAAGTTCTTACCTAAAGTACTTTTGTTTCTGGAAAAGTCACCGAAGCGAAGTTTACTTTGCGCTTGGAGTTTACTTCAGAGTGTACGCAGTGGTAAGGCTTGTGTCTTGGCTATCTAATATTGCTCACTCATCGATTTTGCGCTGCGAGGGGGACATCTTTTACTGACCAAGTAACAGCCATAATGACATTTTTTCCGTGGCCGTTTTGTAATGGAGGAGTTGGCATCTCGGATTTTTCACACTTTGGACTCTTGTGTTCTACTCTTAAACGTTTTTTCATCATTTTGCTACGGTTGAACCAAGGCTTTTTTTTTGCTGATTTGAGCTGTTTTGCACAAAACCACTTCTATAGTTGTTATAGCGAGACAGAGGTTCATCGTAATATTCTTTGCAGAGTTCTAAAGCAAAACATAAATATTCAAAGAAAACAACGTTTCGTTTATAAAACGCCTATATTTTACCATAATCTAATTGTACTTTATAAGTGCGGCACTTACTGTACTTTGTAATAAAGCATTTTTTTGCGATTTTAGACTGTTCCTGGATCTGGGATAGTAAAAATTCGAAACTTTTTGTACTGCAGGAATAAATAGCCAGAGATTTCAAATTAATTTTAGGGTTTGTAAAGAGAAGAAAGTTAGGAAATATAACGGTTTTGAGGACGGTTAAAAAACAAATTTGCATGCTCGCATAATAGCGTAGTAGAAGAGTACCATTGAATGATTTATATTCAAAAACCTTTTAAAACTGTACTAACACAAAAAGTTGGATTTTGATGTGTGATTACCGGTGGTACCAAGAAGCTAGGAAAAAGAATTTTAGAATTTTATAAGATTTTAGCCGTTCAACAATTTTAAAATCATTTAGACAGTCATACGGACTTTTATTCTAGACCATTCGCGTAACAAAAAGCGCGTGTGTCCATTGTTAGGCATACCAGCTTTCAAGGAAAAGAAGATTGCAAAATATCTCCTATTTTGAAAACCACTGACAATGGCAGCCAAACAGAGAAAAATGTTTAGGTAGAACGACGTATTTTGGCTGTTCAGTGGCGAATGAAAGTCTAAAAGTTAGTTACTGCGAAAGAAATCAAAGGGTGAAACCAAAGCTTTTCTACAGGGCGCTGTAAGCTTTAACTTTTCCTGCCGCAACTGTAGGAACAAAGGGGGTGGTGTTTTGTTGGAACCAATTTGAGGCTCGACATTTAAAATCAGTAAACAGCATCAAAATCAGGTTTTTTTTCTAACAGTTCCTTGGCGTGTTCTTTTCTAGGGAGTGGTGACGTGGGTTGTTCTGTTGCTTCAAAAAAGTACTTCCTTTGTGTAACCAGGAGTACTGGAGAGAAAAATTTAGAGAATGCTGACTCAGTTTCTGCTTTTGTCAGAAGAAAACTTTTAACGATTACTTTAGTACACACGAGTGGAAATCCTTGTGACTAAATATTTGGTCTCCTAAAGAAGTCATATAGCTAAAACAATACAGACCGAAAATAATTTGCTTACTCCTTTTAAACGTCCTTTCCACAGCTACTTATAGGACAACAAATCTACCCTTCTGCAACGGTACTTTTTAAATAATCGTTTGCCGTGTACACTAATCCACCGGTTTCCTCGTCGCAATGGAGTTGCGACAAACTTTTTTTAATTTTGGTAATTATCAGAAGTACGTACAAAATAGTCAAAAAAAAAAAAAAGTTTCATTATGTCTAGTTTGTGGTCGAAACGAACGTTCACAAAAGAATTTTTACATTGCTGTCATATTCTTTACTATATTTTTGTTGCCGTCGTCTTTGTTACGCACCCATCTCCCTTGTGAACGGCACATCCCTGAATTTATTCCTTCATTTAAGTTTATGTAGAGACTGGTAAAGTAGATTATACGTGTCTTCAACTACTGACTAATTAATTGCGACAGAAACTGGAGTTACAGTTGCACGATTTTTTCAATTTGAAAAGGCCGTAGCCTAAACGGTTTTGTTTATCAACACCTAGAAAGTGCAAGTTTGAGAAGTACTAGTCTTTTGGCGTCGTTATATATGTAACAACGACTACTGTCGACCTGTAAGTGCTGCTAAGCCCGAAATTTAGTGATGAGAAAAGTTTCACTACATGCTGCTTAGTCAGAGTAATGGTCTGAGAATTGTTTCTGTTGGGAATAAGTATTCCCTTATTCGTTTTCAAAGTATTCGTTCAAGATTCAAAAAATTTTGAAATTGTTTTTGTCCTAAGTGATTAAATATCGTACCTTAATAATTTTGAGAGGCTGGGTTACTGACGTAATAACTACAAGTTTTTCTGACGTTTATGTCAAAAAATTTTGCACTTTTTTGACCCTTCTGAAAACGTTGCAGCATCATTAGAACTTTTTTGTCTTCCAAGTTTGCAGCAATATAGAGGAAGCAGCAGAAGAATAAAAATAATGTGGCGGCGTCGAGGAAAATTTATAAAATATTCAGCATTTCGCAGTTCAAACCCTACTGCAATTTCCTCTACGCTCACTTTTAGAACTGTAAGTCTGTTCTATATTTCTACGAATGTGAGCCAAAAAATACTGTAATTTTTTACAATAATTACTTTTCTTAACTAGGTATCGCTTTTCTAAATGACAGAAAGTTTTTTTCCTCTGCTGAAAACGGGTTATTTGGGTTTCAGGACTAAGATGTGCGTGCCGTTTGTTGAGGGTTCCGATATTTGACCGGGTTTGTTAGATATTTTTTCTTTTTTTGCCGCTTCTGCTCAGTCAAATCGTCAGAGGATGGGGTTGAAGAATGACAGGGATAATAAAAATTTTTTCCAAAACCTGCGTCATATTTTTGGCTGCTTGAATTAGGCTTAAATTTATTCAGTGGAACCTTTAAAAAAGCTCATTTTTTTAAAAGCATATCACGTAGAAATTCTAAGAAGCATCTGTGCCTTTTGGTTAAGCAAAACGTCCAGTAATATCAAAAGTACTAATTTTTTTGTCTTCAAATAACTTGTGCTTGAATTTGATATCTACTGAGATAATAACATATTGACTGGCAAACATTAAAAATTATTAACTTTAATTATATAAAAGCAATTATATTTTAAAAAATTTGAAGGAAAATTAGTTTAATTGTCACCGATAGTCTTAACTTACTAAACGATAGAAGTGATCCACTAATAGCTATCGTTACGACATGCTTAACTTTTAACCAAAAAGTACTACTCGCAATATTGTATACATCTTAAAGAAGAGACGATTTTTAGCTCAGAAGCACTGTCTTCGATAACATTTGAAATTTTTTAAGGATTGTACTGGCAGAGCCGTGACAAGTTTAACCCAAAAACTAATTTGATTACAAGAAGGTTCTTTAATGTTTTATAAACATTAACGGTTCCAATGTGAAAAAGGTTTTTTGTAAGTACGCTAACAAAAAGCGAGACAACGAGAATGCTTGCGTCAAGAAGTCAAGAAAGTCATACGCTGGTCAAGAACATTATGAAGCAAAACGCATCAAA